AGGGAAAGAAAGGAAACATCTAATTAAGAGAACACAGCCTTTAGAGAAGAAACAAGAGAAAAGTGAGGATACAATAGACTAAAAGCATCTGACCTCAGGAAAGGCGTGCAGGTATCAGTAAACGTTAGCATATGTGTTGGTGCGTGAATATTCCAGGAGGGTTCGCATTAATTTTGAGAACACATTTTGAAGAAGTAAGCCAAGAATACCCAGAATATCACAATTCTCAGAATTTAATTCAAAATATTCACATGTAGCTCAAAGAAGTAGGGATGTATTTCCTATTTCTGAGCTGATTCACCAACATTTAAATGGTATAGAGGCTGGGTTCATGGTATGGCAGTAATACATGGTTAAAGAGAAGCTGGGGACCAGCAGGAGCGTGGTGTTTAGGGCATTGGAATCCCTCACGGCCAAATATGGTTTGATTTCCAAACCTGGCAATGTGCAACTCACACTGAGCATATGTGCGTGTGAAGGAACATGGAGAAGAAGGCATTGCAGTGTAGATTTCTCATTTTCCCCTCTCACTATACCTCTCTGTCTCTCTAGATAGTGAATGTGCCCTACAGCAAAAATAATAATAATAATAATAATAATAATAATAATAATAATAATAATAAATAAAAGTGAGAGAGGAGAAGGTCATCCCATATGGTGACAGCAGTTGGAATCTCAGGCCAGTCACCCTGAATCATGCCCAGCACATGTGCAAGTGCCCAAGATCTGAAAAACTAGAGAAATGGAAGAAGGGGAGCCCGGCATGGGCCAGGCTTTGTAGAGGGTGCTCCCCTCCGTATCTCTCTTCCCCCCTCTCCTACATGCATGTTCATGTGCTCTTTTGTGAATAAAGAAAAACATCTTAAAAAAAGGGTATGGACTTCCTAGACTCCTTAACTCTCATTTCAGCTTTTATACTTTAAACAAACAAACAAACAAAAGGGAATAACTAGGGCAAAGGAAAGGTATCCTAAAAATACTTACATGACACTTGATTTTTAACAGAAAGTGCAGAAATCTTGCTACTATTTCCCCAAAGCAAAATAAGTCCAGGCCCAGATATTGCCTCATACTGGCCTACAGCAGGCCACCTCTGCAAATGTGCAGTGTTTCCACAGTTAAAAACCTACTGCAGAGCGACCTGTGCTCACAGCATGGAACTCCCCCGCAGCGCTGGTAAATTAGATACTTGGCTGCAGTTCCAGGTTGCCCACAATTTGCCTTCTCTTTTGTTTTTCTGTTTTAAGTTCTTTTTTTTCCTTCAAGCCATCCCTCTGTAGTCGTCCTGTGAAATAAGCCACACCAGGACCTGTTACAGGGCCACCCTTGGAAATTGCAGCATCTCTAACGAGAGAGTCAGGGGAATAGAAATTGCTGAGCTAGCTCTGGTCCTTTGGGTCTGGGTTTTTATTCAAGAATCTACTCTGGAAGAGACTATGCAGAATCAAAACCATTACACGTCCCAACTTTGAGCCTCTGCAATTGTGAGAAATCAGTTGCTCTAACCTGACATTCCCACTCCAATGAACTCATGCCCCCAAGAAAGCTCCTCTTACTACCCAGTGCACATGGAAACAGGGGTGGGAAGTTAGTTACCTTGGTTTCTTTGCTTCTTAAGGATTTTTATTAATTTAAGGATAAAATATCTGCACAATGGGTCAGCAATTGGTTCTTCATTTCTCTAATCCTCAATGCATTGCTGGCTTTTATGAACAAATGAGCTAAATGTTTTCGAAACATTGACTCTCTTGGGTCTCTATGCCTAGTTAGCATTTACAGTCACAGATATATTTCACAATGTGTTAAATATTAAGATTTTAATGTTTCCCAAGACTTCATATTTTTATTTTACATTTAAAAGCTTGTATAATTAATGACTCTCCCCATGACTTCTCCATTAATTACTCACTTTTCCGCACACTTAGTCTCTGTGAAAGAGTGGTCTTTCATAGTCTTTGGTAGACTAGAGTTTCAACACTGTTGTGTATTTTTCATGTCTCTTCATGCTATCCATGGTGTTCTGTTCTTGTTAGATTTATGTCAGTTTTTCATGGCAAGCTCTGCTAGTCCGAACCAATGAGAACCCTTTCAGAATTGTTTTCCCCTTGTTTTGCTCTAAGCAATGATTCCTTTACTGGATTCTACTGGAATATATAAATCTTCTACGATACCAGACAAACTGTATACACATTTATTCCACCAGTATATCTAAGACAACCCATTAGGGAAAAGTACTAACTTGCTCAAGAACATTACATTGGCTCTCCACAGAAGTAGGCAATGTACCCATGAAGACAAAGATCAGTGATGCAATGAACTCTCGTTGGTTCTTGGGGCACTTCAATTTGATAACATGGTGAACAGACTCTGCTGTGGCCCCAAATCTCCATATGCTGGAATCCAAGTTTGTGTCATCTTCTTCCACTAAGTGTGTGTGAGGCCTGTCACTTGGTTCTAACCAACGGGATGTCAAAGGTAATAGAGGTCACTTCCGAGATTATGTCGCAACAAATTTTAATTCCTTTATTTCCAGAAAACTCTCTCCCTTGCTGGCCTTCAAGAAGTCAACAGTCTGGTCAAGAAGGCCTGAGGAAGGTGACAGCATACGATCGGTGTGTGGCAGTGTCTCCACTCTAGAGAAGTCTTAGCACAGATGAAAGTGACTTTGTCTGGATGGACTGGATTATGTGACAATTTACAGCATTTAGAAAGTTCCAGCCAATTTTGAGACTTATAAGGCTTGAAAATAGCAGAAAGACAATTCTTCCATAATCAGCTTTCCCACCTATCAACTGGTGGGAGATAGGAAATGACAGATCTGCACAAGACTGTCTCAGGAGAGTGGGTCAGGAGTGACAAACCTCGCCTTGTAAAAATTGTCATTTCCCTCTTAGTGGAAAGGCATGAAATCTTAATTGGTAAGTGAGAAACACAGTGGAGAAGGAAAGAAACGATTCTCCCTGGCTGATTTCAGGTTTCAAGCAATGCCTAGTGAAGAACCCCCAGAGCATGCCTGTTGGGTTTGCTTATGTAAATAGCAATCGCACAGCAAATAACTGCACGTTTTTACATTTACGAGGCTACGCTGCGCTCATGTCACCAAATATGAGCTCATAGTTTAACTAAAGGGCACCAAACACCATTCAGTAAGTTTATGTCTATGGCAGAATAAAAATCTCACAAGCACTGTGAAATTCACCTATTTGGGTCCTCTTCCTATAGTGCTAAATGTATAGACAAGAAAGAATCAGTGATTCCAACTGGAGATCTGAGGGCCAAACCAACTGTCCAGTTCTATACAAAGAAGACAATTGGTAAATCCAAGGATGAACTGACATTGCCCACGATGTGCATGGCAGACTCCCCACTGTGGGTTGTGCTGAGACTTCATCAAGGGCATCTCTTGAGAGCCCAGTGTGAACTCCGAGTACCCCGAACCCTGAGCTTACTCTTACCTCGCGCTCCAGCCGCTAGTTAGATCTGACTGGAAACCTGACTGCTCAACAGCACCTGAACCCGGTGGTCTTAGAACCCGCATAGTTGTGGCTTTGGGCACTGTTGCAGTTGGGTTCTCACCAGGACAGAGGTTCTCCAGCAGACAGACTTCTGAGTCTCCAGGAGCCCGATTCAGGTGCCTGTGGCCCCTGCCTTGGCTCCTTTGGGGAGGGCTTAGCCCAGCTGAGCCGGCCATGCAGGCTCAGGAAGCCCAGGGATGCTGTCCACATTGAAGAGAGGGAGCTTCAGCTCAGCGCAGAGAAGCCACAGACAAGCTAAACTGGCCCCCACACAAATCCGCGGGAAACCTCCCACACTGAAACGCCAGGAAGCACGAGGGCACAACACCGGTGCCCAGCTGCACGTACCTTTCCTCACGGTTCTGCCCCACGCACACCCGGCCCCCGTGCCGCGGCGTCGGGTTGCTGCAGGATCGCTGGCGCACCTGGAAGCCGATTCCGCAGCTGGTGCTGCAGGGAGACCACGAAGTCCATGGGGTCCAGCCTCCGTTCCTGGGGGACAGGAAGAATGCCGGCACTCACTGCTGGGAACCACTACAAGCAGTGCAACCCCTGTCTGCACCCACCGGATGCACCATGTTCCGCATCACCACCACTACCACCACCACCCCTCACACACATGCACACGCACACGCACACACACACACACACACACACACACACACGAACGCTGCTTGGAAGGGGGAGCCTCGGCCTCGGGAGGGACCTGGCTATGCCCTTGGAAATCTTCAATATTGCACACCTCCCACTGCAGTTGGGAGTCAAGGTAGGGAACTTCAGCATAAAGTTTTAAGTTTATTCTTCACGCCAGGGGTGTGTGTGTGCCCAATATCCCCAGAGGAGAATGGAGAAGAAGGGATTGCGGTGTGGCCAACCTCCCCGCCCCCCGGGGGGTGATTTCTCACTTTCTGTCTCTTTGTCTCTGTCTTTCTGGTGAGTGCACACACCCTATAGCAAAAACCTCTATAAAAAAAAAAGAAAGCAAGAAAGAAAAAGAAAAATTTTAAGTGACTATATTATAAACAATTAAACTTTAGTTATGAAAATGTCAAACAAAAATAATGCTGTTTCACTGAAAGACATTTAGAAATAAATCTCTAAACCTCAGCATTTTTTGACTTATACATTATACCCCCTATAATCTATGAAAAGTGCTCTTTAAACAAAACAATCATTGGAAACTACACAAAGTGCTTTCTTTCAAGATATATCATCAGGGAAAATGATTGGCTCTCCTGATGGCCTTCATGCTGATCAAGAGTGCTGTCATGTTCAGAGCTTCACAACTCACATCATTACAAATGAAGGGGGCAGCCGGTGGTGTGGAGGTTGAGGTGGCTGGATCCCACATGGCCAACTGCACTGATAGTCTGGGGTCCCACACCCTGAAAAACAAGCCAGGCACATGGGCCCAAGATCTTGAAGAAGGGAGAAATGGATGAAAAGAAATTATGGTGTGACCATCACTAATGGGGAGTGCTCTCTCACTTTCTCTCTGGTGAGTACATGCATCCCCGGCAAAAAATTAAAAAAAAAAAATGAAGGAAGAAAGGATACCTAAATTTAGACTCTTGGATACTTTCCTGAAAAATTGATAGAGATATAGAAGTACAAATAAGAAGTAAAAATCGCACATTCTTTATGTTGTTATATATAATAACATAGATATAAAATAAATGAAACCATTATATAACAGTGATTTATGAAATATACTGCTAATGACAGCTAGCGCAATGTTTTAGTATTGTATTTCTTCCTTAACATGACTGTCTATAGACTATTTATAATTTAAATATCTCCCTTAGTATTTTGAACTTGCTATTAAAAAATAAATTATAGATATTTCAAAGTATCTATTAAATCCAGACTTGAAACTCCCACACAGATGGTCTACGGCAGGTAGGATTTGTTTGATTTCTGTAGTCATAGATACATTTCTTCAGATATGTGTTACCCTCATTTATAAGATTTACATTTTCTTTGAAAAAATCAACTCAGATTAATTATCATTTTTACTCTATACATTCCTTTAAAAACATGAATATTCTTGGGTCCAGTGGGTGGCATGGTAGGTGAGGTGCTGGACTCCCACATGGTGAACCACAGTTCAAGTCCCGGACCTGGCAGCTTGAGACTCATGCAGGGTGTGTGTGTGTTCATGTCCAAAATCGCAAAAGGAAAATGGAGGAGAAGGAATTGTGGTATGTCCATCCTCCCTGGGAGGTGATTTCTCACTTTCCCTCTCTCTGTCTCTCTCTAATCCAGCAAGCACACATGTCCCATGTCAAAAACCTTAAAAAGTAATAATAATTAATTAATTTAAAAAAAGAATGTTCATGACTATGCCATTAAAGATCTAGGTATAAATAATAAGTTAATTATACAATTTCTAAAATGATTTCAATGAAAATTTTTTAGAAAAGTTTTTGAGAAAAATTTTAGTATATTTTTTCTTTATTTATTTTATTTAGGGATATAAATAAAATATATATTGATGGCTTTATGTATATAATAAAGCTGTTTTATGTTTTATGGTAATTTAACCAAATTCATCACAAAATAAGATAAAGCCTCCCACATTTTTTCATAAAGGTAACTAGCTAGTATCTTACATTCTATTACTTACAATCTTAAAAATTATCAATGTAATTCAGTACATTGCAACAAAAACTCAAATTGTAATTTCAGCAGATATAAATGATATTTTTACTTTCAAAGTTCCCTAATAAATGAATGAAATTGCTAGATAATTTAGAAAATACTGCTCTCATAATTGTTGGGAAATTCTTAATTTCCTAAATCTTTTATCAAACACGGAATTTTATGATTTATTTTATTTACGATATACGGTGCATGTTGCATACAGGGTGGTAAATAAATAAAAGTCTATATAGATAGCAGGAATCTGGTAACGAGGAAATAAATAAATGTAATTACATATGTATGTGTTCATTGGAAGGATGCAGGTGTGCACAGTCATAAATGTTGCTTAGAGGCAGACCCAGTGGCAGGCACTAGAGAAGAAGCCTAAGCAAGAACCCATCAGCAGATGGGTCCTTTCTATTAAGTCAGTACAAAGCAATCTCCCATGCATCTAAAGCATCACAGAAACCACTTCACGTACTCAATCTTTACTCTTAAAATAACCCTAGTTGTACTGCGGCTCTGTGGAGAGAATTATTTTCCAAGTACATCAGGAACCGCAGGGCTAACGAGAAAACGAGGCACAGTAATGCACTTGGTAATCCCTTTTTCTATTAGGGGAGAAAAAGTATTAGCTACTTATTGTAATCTTCAAACAATAACAGTTTGGTAGCTTTATAAAATTTCTTCCAGACATCAATGGATAGCACTAAGTTTCACAGAAAGTATGCAGAGCATAATGCAATGGCATCAATATGCCTGTCTTCTAGAATGCAAAATAATCTCTGGAACCCAAACTTGCACCTTTCAACTCTACGGCGTGATCCAATCTGGCTTAGGAAAACTTTGTGCAGAGGGTAGTTGATGAGCCCTTTGCACTTGCAGTCTCTCTTCCTGACCTCCTCTTCCTAGTATGCCTTGCCTTCAAGTCCTGGACCCTCATGCTCTTAGATAACCCGGTGTATTTCCACTGTCGGTGACCTAAACAACGACCCCTGTATAGTTCTGACATACTATAATAAGTAGGGCAGGATTTTTTTGATCAAGAATTTGGCTTCTGTCCCAGCCATGGTGGCTCGCAGATAGTGAAAGCATTCAAGAGACTAGACATTCCATGGGAGGCCCAGCTGCAGGCCTGGGGCCAACCCGAACATGCCAGGCACAGTGCCAGATACTTATGGTCTTAGTTAATGGGGAATCTGGGACAGGAGGAGCATGACATAGCGAGGCCTTGTCAACATTTCACACCTGTGTCTCTCCCTTCCCCTGTCTTTCTAGACTTTTCTTTTTCATAAAGAAAAAAAAAAATAGAATTTGACCTAAGAATTCCAACTAATATATTCTACCAGTCAGAAATTGTTAGTCCATATATTTCAAAAACTTCATGGAAAAAATGAGATTGGAGTATAACTTCATTTGGGTGCAAAAATTTTGAAATCTATATTTATTTTTTTCCTTTTTTTAAACTTTTTAAATTTTTTCATATATAATTTTAACTTTACTTATTTATCTTAATTTGACCAGAGAGGGACAGAGTGAGAGAGAAAGAGAGGAAAAGTGAGAAAGCAAGTTGCCAGGTTCGGAACTTAAACCGTGGTTGGCTATGTGGGAGTCCAGCACCCTTAACCACCCCGCCACCTGCTGGACGCCATACTTATTTTTTTCATAATGCACATTTTCTATGTACTTTTTAAAGACCCCTTTATACATTCCACGAAAGGACTCTTAAATAACATAGACATTTCCCTCATACTGTGTAGATTAGAAATACTTTTTCTGATCTAATAACGAACACATGATTAGGTTAGATTTATCACCAAATTTATGGTTTACAATTTCCTTTCCTGGGTCATGTACTTCTCAGTGAGTGTCCCTGTCTCTCTGCCACCTTTCTGTTCAGAGGGAGGCAATACACTGTGAATGATTTCCCAGCCTCCTCCGTGGGCTGAGGTCAACACCTGACAGCACACTGGAGCGTTCAAAGGGACCACCTGGAGCAGTTGGCGATCTCCACGCTGGGGCCCTCGGTCTGCCAGCCGCCACACTGCGGGGCCGGGCTGTCACAAGAGCGGGTGCGGCAAAGGCAGGATCCCACAGCACTGCCATCTGTGTGTGTGCAGGGTGTCCACGGAGACCACGTGCCAAAGTGTCCATCCACTGTGAGATTCCTGGTCTGGGAAGGAGATACAGGTAATGGTGTCATAAAACAGTTAAAGCTGTAAACAGAATAGAATAAAAATCAGCGATGGCTCACGAGGCAGCCAGACTTCCTAGAGAATATTTCTTCATCACAGAAAGTGATGTAAGAAAGAGTATATACATTTTTTTGAGAGGTTTTTGCTATAGGGTGCATGTGCTCGCCAGAAAGAGAGAAACAGAAAGCAAGAAATCACCCCCCAGGGGGGATCGCCATGCCGCAACCCATTCTCCTCCATTCTCCTCTCGGGATCTTGGGCACGCACGCTCATGTGCCTGGGCATAGTTTAAGTCACTGGGTTGGGGACTTGAACCACAGTTGACTACATGGGAGTTCAGAAACATAGTCATTATACCAACTGCCGGTCCTAAGAAAGAGTATTTTAAAGTAAATTAGCAAAGGACGTAGAAAGCGATGGTGAGGAAGAGGAGGTTGTGCAATGTCAATATGCCTGTGTCTTCTGGCATATGTCTGTCTAATGTGAGATACTCTAATCTCTGGAGCCCGAATTTACACCTTTCAGCTTTGTGGCATGATCCAATCTGGCCTAGGAGAAATTCAAGCAGTGGATAATTTGCCTATTGCACCTGCACTTTCTCTTCCTGACCACCCTCCTCCTTCTTGGAAAAGGAAAGGAGAGAACAGAATAAGAAGAAAAAGAGGAGGAGGAGACATAGGAAGAGGAGGAGAGTGGGAAAATGGAAGAGAAGGAGAAGGGGAGGGGAAAAGATGGGAGTGAAGCAAGAGGAGGGAGGGAGGTGGAGGGAGGGATGACAGACAAGAGGAGAAGGAGGAAGGAAGAGGAAGATGAGAAAGATGAGGCCTAAAGTAAAATTTCCTCATCTTTTTTTTTTTTTTTTTTTTTGGGGGTTTTTCTCACGGGCGGGG